CTTAACTAACGCTCGAAACGTCAGCTTTTATAACTGTAACGGTGGCCAATTTACCATTTCAACGTTGTTGATATATTCAAATTATTTCGTTACCCCCACTGATGCAGTGCCAAACAGTTTCTTTACAAACTATCAGCCTTTATTTTTGAAGAGTGAGCGTAGTTTCCCCGTAGGAGACATTCGCGGTGTCCGTGATCTCGTAGACCAGTGACGATGCGGTCACGAAGTATTTCATCTTCAAATGCACCGAACTGGCATGTAGCGGCAAGTTTGCGAAGTTCAGTTAAGAACTGATCAAAGCTTTCACCGGGTTTCTGAGAGCGACTGTTAAATACATACCATTCTTAAATCGTATTTAGTTTGGGCACAAAATATTCATCAAGCCTTCTGAGGAGAACATCAGCATCTTGTCTTTCATATTCAGTCATTGGAATATTTCTGCAGATGTGAAGGCATTCTTTACCCATGATCAACAACAACGTGGCTGCGACTATTTTCTTGTCTTTTTGTTCCAGTTTGGTAGCGGTAGCATAATTCTTCCAGCTGTCTTTGAGGAATTCCCAATTTGCGGCTTGATCTCCTCTGATATCCATTTCTGATGGCGGAGGGATCATGAATTGTGACATGTTTTTAGTTTATGCATATGACAGCAAACAGTTCTAACTTCGAAGCAGCGTGAGCATAAATTCGTGGAAACTGAGGTCTTTACAGCCTATTTGTGTGATACCTTTGGTGAGTGTCTTGCTTTTCAGCGCCCATTTGTTTCGGTTTGAGTGATCTTCGGCTGAAAATCCAGCTCCTAAAACACCATGTTATGATTTGCGACTCAAAAAGACGAGCACGTAGTGAACAACAACAAATTTAATGTGTCCCGAATGTGTGACGTAATACACTGCATAACAGAAACTATGACTGTTATGTTCTATTCAGTCGATGTTAAGGTTTCACTAGAGTTTTTGTTTAATTGTATACCTCTGCAATACTAATAGTTTGGATTCTGAGAGCAGTTATCCTATTTGTGGAATGAGACAATTGTTTTACTCACCTCTTAAAAGATTTTAAGGAACAAAATATGTGCAGACTTATTGAGGATTTGTTTAACTTTTATCATCAACAAGCCTCTAAACAAAGTTTGTTTATTTATTTACAAATATTTAGACAGGTTAGCCAAGTTCAGCAAATAGGTGGTTTAAATGGGGCCCTGTAAAAGTAACCCACCATCCCACCCTGGGGAAGACATCCACCACACAGTCATCTTGTGCTTGGGAAATTAACGTCTCCTACCCCTAACCTTGCCGGAGATGGGACCTACGGTTTTATTCATCCTTATCCGAGAAGATTAGAATATCTATCCATTTCTTGATATTAAAGAAAGGTAGCAATTTCTCCTCAGTTAATTTAAGACCATAAGTATTGGTCCGGCCCGGGCCTGACCAATTCATTCCATTCATTAGTGACCCCAAATGACAAGAGTGATTCCATTCAACTCTGAAAAATTTTGTTGATAAGAATGGCTGGACCTCTAAAGATTTGGTTGAACTTTTCTGCTGAAACTTATTGGGAAAGGCCCATTTATAGGTCATCCTTTGGCAAATGATTCCAAGAGGGAAAATATGCCAACTTACTACAAACTAGTTGAGCTTGTACCTGGAAGGTTTAAAACACAGGCCCATTTATGACATCCTAATTCATTGTTTTATGGTCCAGCAGATTTTATGCAGTCAAAGATTATTAATTGAACAATGACTGTAGATTTTTAGCAGTATTGGGTTTCTTGTTTAGTTAAGTGATGTGGCATTGCACAACATAAAACCCCTCTTTGCCAGGGGATTAGTGAATAGTACACTTGGTGTATTCTTGCCACCTGTTTGCTTAGTTAATTAAGGATATTGTGGGGAGAATTCACATGTTTATATCATTGTGTGGAGTTTAAGTGCTTAAAGAAGCTGATTGCGAGCAGATATTGCCTTTCTGATTTGTGATCTGAGCCGACTATATTGCACTGACACCTTTTGAACCCTTTTAACTCCTTTTATTTATCAATGTGCAACTTCTCACAAATTCAATAAATTACATCCATAAAACAGGTCTTAAGAACAAACAAAAATATTTAACAGAGAGTGTGGTTTTGATGTAAAACCAAGTTCCCTTCACTTATTTACAAAGAAATATATATAGTGTAGAGAGACAGGGAGAGAGAGAGAGAGAGGGAGAGAGAGAGAGAGACAAATTGTGATACAGAACTTTGCAGTTACAGAAAAGCTCTTAAATTGACCATCCCAAGTTATAATTACTGATTTACAGTTTTTGACTCAGCAACCTTCCAATACTAAGAGGGCTTTGGAACTATTGGGTCAAAACCTGAACTTCTTTATATAATTAAAAATAGAATTCTGGTTAGTCTGTCTCCCATGGCTGGCTGGAGAAGGATGTGAAATTGGGAATCATTTGTGCTCTCAATTGTTTCAGTCAAAAAAGCTGGGTTATACTGCTGACAAGGAAGTTGCTCACCATACAAACCAGGTGAACTGCTTCTTTTAAAATTCCGTGAGTTGTTTCAAACACCTTTACATCTGATTCAATTTTTTAACTACTATGTATTTTCATCTGTGATGACTCAATGCTTTGTTCCCGTAAAGCTGTCATCACAGGCATAAAGGGGAGTATGACAAGGAAACAAACTGAGCACCTATTTGTGAGCAGTCTTTTCATGAGCATTTAAATTCTCATTTGGAAAAAGTTGTGAATAATTTGTAAATTAATACATGGATGTGAAAGGTTAGAAATCTATACTGTCTAAAAAGTTTGCTCAGTTATGTGATGTATGATGGTTTATTAAGCAGTTATCATGTGATTGCTCAATGGTTTTTTTTAAGGAAACATGAAACTTATAGCAATGGAATAAAATGGAATCAGTAGAAAACATAAAATACGAGTTTTTTCTGAAAGTGTTCATGATTTTTTCACTATTATTTGGTGAAATCAAGCCAACAGTAAATGAGTATGCCAGTTTCCATGCCAATTGAGAAAATATTTTGCCTTGCTAGTTTTGTCAAAATTAGCATAGAAATGGTGTGGTCATTGTGTATTTTAGAAGAATTGTTCTCAGTTGTAGTGGACATTTTTAACCAAGTAACCCATGAAATTCTCTAAGGCCCTCAAAATCAAACCTAATTCCTGTTCGCTCAGACGAAGGGCTAACACTCGAAACGTCAGCTTTTGTAATCGTTACCGTGGCGAATTTACCATTTCAACTTTGTTGATATATCCAAACTAATTCCTGTAAGCTGAGAAAAAACTCAAAATGGCTGTTCATTTACACAGTAATGTTATTGAATAGGGAGGTGTAACTTTATATAGCTTTCAATGCTGCTTTACTTTACAAAGCATGATTTAGGGGAAAAATCTGTGATTATTTTCATTGGTATTTTTGTAGTGTTTTTCTGCTGAGGACATTGTTAAAGAGATTGAGGAGGAAGAAGAGGGACATCATGAAGAAGACGGGCATCATGGAGAAGAGGAAGGTCACCATCATGAAGAGGAAGAGAAACCCCTCCATCTGGAAGACTTTCAAAAGGCCTGTGCCAGTATTGTGCTACATTTAGTACAAGGATATTGCATTGAGGAGGCACATGGACACAATGAGACTTCCTCCCTACCTTCGAGGGAGTTCTTCATAAAGGAGCTCTTTGAAAACAAGACACACCTCTCTGAGGGAGATTTGGAAGCAATTATGAAAGTTCTTAAAATTGGTAAAGCTGAGTCATCAAGTGGGGAGGATGCCCATGATCACGATGATGGTCACAAGCACCGACGAAGAAGATCTGCTGGATCCCTCTTGTCTACATCACTGGGATCAAAGACCCCTCATTCTGTTCATCGCCGTGCAGTTGATGAGCATGGTCATGGTCATGGGACTGGAACTGGAACTGTAAGGGACAGTACTTAATTAACCTTTAGCTCCCAAGATCTGATTGTGAACTCTTCCCTCTAGCTACAAAACATTTCCTTGTACTTTAGTTACAAGAATTTGGTATTACAGGGCTCAACACTAATAGTAGCCAACCAGCCACAGACTAGTAGAAATTCAGTTTTGGCGCAATTTCCTTGAGCCAGTTTGGCTACCAAACAAGCTGAAATTGTCGTAACATCTAAGTTGTCATTAGCCAATTGGCTAGTAAGTTGAAAAGTTTGTGTCGAGCCCTGTATTAGATCAAGATAACCTCTACCCTATAAGGTTGAGTATTGTCACGATTGGGTTTTATGGAAGAAGTGACATGTTAATCTCTTTTGGGATTTAAGGGTTATGTCAATCTTTCAGGTAACCATCACTCCTTGAATGTATTACAATATACTAGAGCCCATACAGCCAGCAAAGTTTGCTTGTTACTTGGCAGCATTTTACTAGATAAATTAGACCTGAAAAACACAGCAAAATGAAGAATTAAACTGATTGTGCTATTGTCATTGCATTCTGATGTTGATTACATGTTGGGTAAACTTATTTTGAGGATGGTAACTGTGTGAAACAACAGAATACTAAAGATGGCATATTATATCATTATAGTCACAGTGTTACTCTCTCGACGATATGCTGACAGTTTTTGACATTGATCACACGATTGGTGCAGATCAATTTGACTTCAAAGAACTTTGCCCTGCTTTCATTCAACAAGCCAAAAGTGGACATTGCAATGAAGCTCACAAAGATACACCAGAAACAGAGAAGGACATGGGAAAAAGTAAGTGTTCTTGAGTAATGCTGTTAACCGTGTCTCACAGGTATTACATGTGTATTTTACTTGTAGCTAACATCATTTGTCTCTCTGGCCATACAATACATTTGTCCCCTCTTCCTGATTTCACTTTTCTCCTTCGTAGTTGTTTTTCTGGTTTCCATAGCATGAAGCAACTAGGAGTGTCTCTACTTCTCCCCCCCCCCCCTGCATGAAAGCCAGTCCGATGCAGGGTTACCGCTTCAGCATTAAATTTACTCAATTGGTAGAGCGCTGCACTATTATTGCAGAGGTCAGTGGTTTGAATCCTGTACAGGCCTGATTTTTCTCAGGTTTAATTTTCGCTATTACATAAATAGCGCTATCTACTGCGAAGGATCGTGCATCATATGTATTAAATTTACTGCTACCCTTTTTAACACCAGAGTGAAGAGAGGCACTGTGAGAGTAAAGTGTCTTGCCTAAAAACAAGACACATTATGTCGCCTGCCAGGGAAGAAATGCAGACCACTTGATCGGCCTTCGAGTGCACCAACCATGAGGCCACCACGCCTCTCAGTTCTTTTTAAGTGCAATGATGCCTATCATTGAAGAAACATCAAAATGTCATTTCTACAGGGAAGGGCATTCTGTGCACACCACAATGTTCAAAGGTTTGAACCATTTTGACCCAATAATTGTTTTTCTTTCAGTATGGGGCTATGGTTTTCTTGCTGTCACCATCATCAGTCTCACATCCTTGGCTGGTGTGGCTACCATCCCATTTTTTGGAAAGAGAATGTACAAGAAAATCCTGGCCACCTTGGTTGCACTTGCTGTTGGAACACTGGCTGGAGACAGTTTGCTTCATTTGTTACCTCATGTAAGGACATAAGCCCTTTACACCCTAATATCAGTATGCATATTCTTCTTACTGTTCTTTTTACATTTCCTAAGATGCTGACAAGGAGAATTGTTTTAACAATCAAAGCTTTTAAGGGTCAGTGATCATTTCCTTTATTCTCATGATCCCAATAAATGATTCAACAGGATTAGTGAAAGGAGAAATTAGATGCTAGTCACTCGTAGGGTTTTACGGGTTGATGATAATGAAGATTTTTACAAATGATACTTTGTGCTTTGAGGTGAATGCAGAAATTTTTTTTAACATGACTTTCAAATTATGAAATAGGAAGATCACTCTCTGAATAAATTGAAATGATACCCTGGGAGAAGGTGCTCTTTACTCCTTTTCTTCCATGAGATGGAAGATTTTTTGTGTTGAAATTTTGGCAAACAAAATTAGGAATATATTTACATGTGTTATTTGCCTGTGAAAGAAGACATAACTTTACCATGATTCAGGGCTTGACACTAACTTTTGAACTTACTAGCCAAGTGGCTAGTGACATCTTAGATGTTATGACAGTTTCAGTTTGTTTACTAGCCAAACTGGGTAGTGGAAATTGAAAACCACCAGCTGAAACTGAATTTCTACTAGGCTGTGGCTAGTTGGCTACCATTAGTGTTGAGCCCTGATTATTATTATTTTTTTGCCATTATGCAGGCATTTGGTCTTCATGCTCATGAAGAGGAAGGTGCTGGCCATGAAGGTCATGAAGAAGAAGATAATGGCTTTGTTTGGAAAGCTTTGGTTGTGCTGGCCTCTATTTATGCATTCTTCTTGTTTGAAACTTTGATGCATCTGTGTTTGAAGAGTAAGGTTGGAGAACACAGCCACAGTCATGTTGAAGTTGAGGTGAGCAGACTTGATACATTGGACAGTACATGTGCTACAGTCTTTGCTTGTTCCTCTTTTCTTTTTAATGGCAAAATGAGGTCTGTGTTAGCACTAATATCACTGTTTCTTTGTTTTGTTTTGTATTTTTTCTTCAAGCCTGAAATCAAGAGTTCTCTGTCATCCTCACAATGATTACATGACCAGAAAATGTTTTCTGCACTGAAACTAAGTGTTATTGTTCCTTTTTGCAGCTGCCTGGCCCTTCCAGTCGGCATATGAGCTTCAAAAAGAACAGGAAGTGTTCCAGGTTGGAGCACCGTGAAGGTGCACCACCCATTGCAAATCATCATGATGAAGTACCACCCATGGACAATGGTGGCATTGTTTTGACAAATGTGGTAAGCAGAATGTTAACAGGTTTTATTTAGATTGTCTGTAGGTTGGAGAACAACATGCTTTACTTCACTCTACCCAAGTTAATATATAAATTTATAAATGGACATTTGTGAACAGTTAGCACAAGCTTGTGAACAGTCAGCACAAGCTTTTATACAGTGAGATGTTCACAGGGGATTTAAGCACCTCCATCAGATATCTAAAATGTAGAGGTATACTGTGGAAATTGGGAAAGAATTTGAAGATGGGGACCAATTTATATGGCTTGTGTGTAAATATAGCTTTTAGTCCTTAAAGAGATTAAGGAAGTAAAGGAGAATGGCAATCAGAATTCAGTTGGGGAAGGTCATAACAGAATTAAGCTCGGGGTAGTGCATCAACCCCAAAATAACAACACTGAAAGCACTCAGCTCAGTTAAAGCGACATGATTACAGTAAAATTGCATGATAGAAAACCCCTGTAAAAGTCATCAGGTCAGAGTACAATGCAGGGGATGTGGCCCTGATGCTAATTTGAAAATTAAAGAGTTACAAGAAAATCATTGAAAAAAAAAAATTATTTAACTCTGTGACTCCTAATAGTGACAAGCATCTAATTCCTTCTTGCAAGTGTCATTCCAAGTCACACATAAAGGTGACAAGAATAAAGGAAATGATCACCCACTAATGAAGCTCTTGATTGTTAAAAAATACTCTCCACGTCAGTACTTTAGGAAATGACGATGTTAGCGGTAAAGTGTGTCTTTTTATTCAGAATTACAGATGTGATGTGTTTAAAGTTTATATAATCTACTTTTAATTTAAAAAAATGTTTTAACTCTAAGGTTGGTTTATCTTTATTGAATTGAAGTTTAAATTTAAGCCTGTAATCTTTTATTGCTAAAGGAGGGTCCTACAGCATACTACAACTCCAGTCCTTCGTGTACATTTCGTTCACACAGTGTCTATGAGCATGTTTCTAGTTCAGATACTGAAGGGGGTGATTATCAGGTAACATGACAACTGATAATATCATGTTGTGTTCATTAATAGTGTAGAAATTTGATAATAATGGTAAACTTTGAACTATCTTACCTCCCATGCTGTTGATTCTGACTTGGGTAAAATTTTGTTAATATATTCTAAAATGTTTTGTTTAAAAAGTGATGTGCTCTCATCCAATTAGTAATTGGAACTGTTTAAGGAAAGCTCCTCAGTTTTCAACTTAACCAAGCAATGAATAATGTGCTTTGTACAATACATGATTGCTGAAACAGTGAAATTTTTAAATCAATGAGACTGAATTCATCATAATTTTTTATAAAGTTATTGAACTATTGACCAACAGCATATCTTACGAAGGGCTGCTTAAGATTTCCTGTGTATGATCAATAAACAGTAAACCATAATTACTGGTTACATCATGGAGTTGCAACAGGGATAAGGACTGACAGGGTGGACCTTCTAGCTGATAAATTGATGTTCCTTTTACTCACCGAAATTTTCTACAATTCAAAACTATTTTAATGGGGCTACATTGATATTAGGCAATTTTTTCAAAAGGTTTTAAACTGTGGCTAGACAGTTCTAACATCGAGGTGATGATTTTAAACAGCACTCACTGCTGGAAAGAGTCACATTGAAATTTCCTCTATGAATGTACAAAGAAGAGATCTTTTTTTTTTGTTAACCAGAATGCCAACGGTGAGGTCAAAGGGGATGGAGCTGCAGCCCCTCAGGATGTGTCAAGCAAACCCAAGAAAAGTCTGAAATCCAGCTTGTCACGCCGTTCAGTATTCAGTGATGAAGATGGAATTAAAAAACCTATGAAGAAGATATCAGCTGTTGCTTGGATGATCATAATAGGTGATACTCTTCATAATATCAGTGATGGCTTAGCCATTGGTGCAGCATTCTCAGACGGAGGGAATTCTGGTGTGTCTGGCGGCATAAGTACATCGATTGCTGTGTTTTGCCACGAGTTGCCACATGAACTTGGTAAGAAAATCGTTATTATACTCATTCTCGCAACGTGATCATTTTGTAATATTGTTGTGTAAGTGAATGCTTAGATTCTTTGTTGTTCTTATTTTAATTTTTTCCAAAATTGTTTTTTCTGATTTGATCGGCATCCCATCTGTGATCCAGTCCATGATCCCATCCAGATTTTGGCAATGCTAGATCATTTGTATAGTTCAGTGACTTGTACTAAAATTTTTCTTTTCAATTTGCAGGTGATTTTGCAGTTCTACTGACAGCTGGCATGTCTGTTAAGATGGCATTGGTAGCAAATTTATTGTCAGCCTGTTCTTGCTATATTGGCTTGGCAATTGGCATTTATGTAGGTCAGCAGGCTGATGTGCGATTCTGGATCTTTGCCATTGCTGGAGGAATGTTCCTTTACGTAGCTTTGGTGGACATGGTAAGAAATATTTCCTTTATAATTTGACACACTTCATGTGCCAGACATGGAGGGCTATTGTCAGTAGGAAGCATTTTGAATCGTAGATCCAAAGGTGCAGGGTTTTGGTTCCCAGGCCAGGTCACTATGTTGTTTATTGGGTAGGAGTTTGAGTGGGTACCAGTCCACATGTCAGAGAAACCTGGCAAGATAATGTAGGAGGGTTGTGGTAACCTAGGGTAGCCTGCAGTGCAGGCAGTTTTGGTGGTTTTCATCTTTCGAGTGTTTAGCTGCCATGTTGGATTTGTTGCAGACTGGGAGAATTGAGTTGACAATGCGAGAATGTCAGAGTGCGTGGGGGGACGAGGAAGGAAAATCGCCTGCCCAGAGAGGCTGTAAAATTAAAAAACGCCCCTAATTAGTATCGCTTGATCGCTTTTCCAGAAGTGAATCGTTGGCCAATGAAAATGAAGTAATTCCTTACCGGAAGATAAAATCCACTTCCGACAAAAACAAATAGAATACACATGTTGTCAACTTGGAAAACTTTCAGAGCTACAATGTTGAGATGTGGGAAAAAAGTCCTAGTGACAACTGCAGGCTTTGCAACATTTCTTTTAAAGTTAAATTTGGAAATGTCGCTGGTAAACAGAGTCATTCATCGTCGGAAAATCTTTTCAAGCCTTCAAAACGTAAAGATTGTTTTGGCGTTGTTCTTGCCAATATTTGTAGGCAAGTAGGATTGGAGTTGATACAAGAATCGCAAGTATTTTCAGATCGAGTGTGCAACCCTTGTGGTGGCAAAATTCCAAACCTGGGCCAGTTGTACCAGTTCGTGAAAGCTGGAACTTCCAAAACAGCAAACACTCCCAGTAAAAGAAGTGATAAACGCGATCTCAATAGTCCAGAGAAATCAATTTCATCGTGGAAGAAATCGAAGGTGATTTGTGTGAATTCACCAGCAGCCATAAAAACCACTGAGAAATAAACACGTCGAGGAAATCTCTCATGTTTGAAACGGAAGATGTGGTTTCTGCGTGTGCATCTGCAGTGAAGGATGAAAAATTAAGAAAATAATAACAATAATCGCGCACGCAGCTTTTGACAACAATATTTCTTGGACACAAATCAACAACTGAAAGATGAGGCTTTTTCCAAAGCCTGTCGAAAGAACTGCCAATAAATCGCTCCCATGCACAAGCGTTGAGATTGCTTCTTTTTGTTCGTGGCATAATTGACGCGACGTACCCAGCTCTGAGAGAAATGAAAGAGATTCTTCGAGTGCAGCATCGAAAGTTAGCAAGTCCACCATTTTCTTGATCACATCACTGAGAAGCACGCGCATGCACGGCAGGAAGAGGCTGAAGCAATGTTAGCATTGATTGGCAAGTATCAATTTGAGTGCACCCTGCTGTACCAATCAGAGACTCCGTTCGCCTACCAACGGAATTTCTTAAAGAAACAATCAGTGCGGGCAGGCGGATTTTTCTTTCCCCTCTCTCTTTCCCTTCCCCAATTTTTCTCTCTACCTCCCACTAGCTTGGTAAACTTTTTACCTTGCCCCAACTCTCCACTGTTTTTCTAATTCAAGGTGGCAGCCTGAACAACCAATGGGAATATCCACTCGCCCCGCCAAAATCCGACTGCACTGCAGGCTAACCTGGGGCAGACTCACAAACCATCCATGCGATAACCATCATGTCAATGAAAGGGGATAAGCTATAACCACCAAGCAAATCAGTCTCTCTTGCAATCTTATTGCAGTTTGCATGTTTCACCCGACCTCAGCCCAGCATGGGGAAGAGAGACTTTAGATTTCACAGGACCTGTCAGTTAATAGGTTCACTTTTTTATTATAAGTAACCACACTGCTTATTATTGATTTAAAAAATGTAAGCCTTGAGGTACAATATGCTCTACTTCTCAGTTCAGAGCTAACACAACAACTCATATTTATTGCAGCTTCCAGACCTGATGCACAGTGAGTCATTGCAGACTGAACCATTAGTGACATTCATTTGTCAAAACTTTGGCCTGCTGCTTGGAATTGCAATTATGTTGGTGATAGCCTTGTATGAGGAAGATCTAATGGCTGTAACTTGGTAGTGAACGTTTGCCCTTGTCAAATGGTTGTTCTACAAAATAGTTGATATCTCGGAGTTATTCTGTGTTGTGTTGATTAGGGAGGGTATTTTTGATATTTTATTTTGCAGATGTTTGTTTGATTAAGTGAGTGATATGATTGGCATAAGTTCTTTTTATATAGATATATTTTTTTGTTCTTTCTAATTAAAGAGTGCAGTGGTAAGTGTGACGAATGAGTTGGATGTTGAGTTAGTAACACTGGCTTTGCGGTCTTATTCTTATAACTAGTTAACATATTCAGTTTTTAGAGCATTCCTTTTGTTCTTAAATAAGCTCAGTAGAACAACAATTATCTTCTACTTATCATGGTAAAGAAAGTGTTTTCATTAAAGGATTGAAAATTCAGGCTTAATTTTTTCCAAGTTGAAAAGGTGCTTAGTGGTTTTTGTAGGGGACAAAATTTTGAATCTGTTAACTCTCATAGAAAGTGGAAATCCTTTGTTATAACTACCTGAACTATAAGATTGTAGACATGCTTGTATTTTAATTGTCAGAAATCATTTAGCATCAATTATTACACTGAATTTTTTACTTCATGTGTGCTATATGTTGAAGAGGTGTTAAAAAACAATTTTGTCCCAAATGATCATATTTTACTCCTTGTGCAAGCATAAAGTAGCATTTTTAAAATAAGTGCATCGAAAATTACAGCTGATAATTACTGCAGCATTTCCCAATGTTGGTTATTATTCTTATCTGTCCACAACTATACAAAACTTCTGGGAATTTATTGAACCTTTTTAACTCTTTATGAGTGATCAAGACTGAATTTCTCCCTACAGTGTCATTATAATATCAAACAGACAAGTGAGTAGGAAAATTAATATATAGATTTAGCCAAGCCTAAAAGCGGAGCTCCGACATTACATTATTWA